AATAAATATGAAAACACAAACACTAGACAAACAACATTAGATGTAAATTGTTTGTAAATCATCATCAAAACAAGAAGGCCAACAACTCTCTCTGAAACCCACTCCTTACAATCTTTTGAATGGACAAAGACTGCGAAACCATCTTCCAATATTGTAATCTTTTACATGGATAATGACCATGAAACCCTCGCGTCTTGCATAATATTCTTGAATCAGGGTACGCCCTCTGCTAACCCTAGATTACAAGAATACTTGCTCTTTCTCCTCCCCTTGGTTTTTCCTCCAACAATATATATATAGGAAAACCAAAATCCTATCTCTAGCCTGACTTCCTAATTAGAATAGGATTCAAATTCTTAATCATGATCTCTTAATCATGATAGATTTCTAACCCTATCTAATTCTCATGAAATTATACAAAGAATCGAAGACACTTCCCAGCAGCTCATTCCTATATATTCATTTAAATAAGGGACCATATAAACATAGGTAGAAGAGTGAATAGGAATGAGACATCTCACTACTAAGCATAAAATTTATAGTTGGTACTTTTGTTAATACGAGATGTACTGAAAACCATATGAGAGGAAATCTTTTGCTGATCAATTCAATAACATTCTAGTCCACAAATTGCTCTATACGTATACATGTTCAATTTGTGGGTCTATACTCAATAGTACGTGACCAACTTGATCAAAACACCAACCCCTGCACCTGTATGAATTGATTCCGTAGATATGACACAACAAGCAAGTTGTAGTGAGCCTACATATTGCCACATCTAAATTGACGATTAAGCTTCGTTTCTATTTGAGGTTCCTGTAGCTGTGCATTACGCATTAAATGTTAGGTTGTGCTTTGATATTTTCTTAATTATGAGGTTGTGATGTATGGTTAACATTGGCATGATTAAGAGAAGCACAACTGTAACTAATAAGAGAGCTAAGTATCAATCATCTAATTATGCAAGGAGAAAAATGACAGGATAATCACAAGGAGGACAAGAAGTAGCCATCAAAAAGGATTCTACCTCTGAAAAGACCTAATCAAGAGCAAGTGGACCCTACGAATCGCATATGCGCCATACGTTCAATAAGCAGGCATGCATAACCATAGGATGGATGGAGCCTGTATAAGGACACAGCCATAGTCTAATTGAAGGGGGTCATAATGTAAATTATTAGAATTTTACTTAAACTTTTGTGGATGTCAACCATTGAATTAATTAGTCATGTATTTGATGTAACAAATTTTTTGTTGTTACTCTCAGAATTGAATGAAATGGTACAAGGGGAGAGATGAAAAGGAAGAACAAACACACATATATATATCTATGTATATATAACCCAGTATCAACAACAGTTTATATATTATGTGTACGTAGCTACATCAGATCATTATTTCACCTTTCCATACAACAAATTGCATTGCTTTGTATCCCATTGATTTACCCACTAGATATTTGTTACATAAGACATAAGCCTTAGTATATGCTATAACTCTTCCTCGAAATGAGTGTGTGTAGTATCTTCCACCTCTCTTATAGATAGGAATGAAGATTCCTCTTACTTGGTCAGTCACAAGGTAGAAATCTCTCTTTTGATGATGAGAAATATGTCTTGAGTTTGTGACCTCTCTCTTATGATGAACGTTTTATATGTTTCTATTGCCAAGTTCCAAGTCCAATATGCATGATCTTGTTTGTAACAATTGTTTTGCTGAGTATGATCATAACATGCACCTACAATATGTATATTTATATCCAAACTATAATTGGTCCACGACTAAAATATTGCTTATCTACATTTCAATATTTAATTTTTGGTGATAGTCTTACATTAATTGTAAATAAACCATATGTTAACCTAAACGCAAACTAGAAGTTAACTAATCAATCACTCAATACTTGAGCAAAGATAAGAGGATTTGATGTGATAAGGAACCATTAATCCTAGGGTTTAAAACCCTAAAAATGTAGTTGTATAGTTGTCATTGGCTGGAAATGAAAGCTAAATATTGGTGCATCATAAATTGAAAAGCAAAGCTAGATAGTGACCTTATTAAAGAGCACACAGAAACGGTGGTGGTGGTGGGAGGTGGTACTATATTATTGAGGAAGAGTCTTTCTCATGATCAGCCACTAATACAAGTTTCAGATTTACTTGCCTTAATGCAACAACAACTCTCTTTCCTTTTAAACTTTCATAACACTTAGCATACAAATCAAATTACTTCTTAAGCCTACAATATCTAGAAGAGATTGGAGGTTACCTTGAGATTTTTTTCCCATACCTTGCTTTCATCTGTCCACTTCAGTATTGTCTTTGATGGTGATCAACACCAACTAATTAATTATGTTCATGATTAACACCTAAAGTCAAAGCCCTTTTTCTTTATTTTAAAATATACATACATATAAATGTAATGTTGTGATTGAATTTCTTCGAGCACAAGTTATATGATCGATTTTTTGGTGTGTGGCATACTCGATTAGGTGCCATTTTTCGAGTCTAGCTGGAACAATCAGTGCATTGCAAGATAATTATTAAGAAGTTGAAGCAAATGAATCTAGTAAATTAGTAGCCATCTCAGCATTTTATGATGAAGTTATGCGATGAAGTGGCATAACAAAGCAAATGTTTCGAGTTTACTACTTGATTCGTAGATTGAAAGGGATGCTTTACAATGATTGAGATTAGGACTTCTAATTGTACTAGTGGTTCGAATTGATTGTCTATTAATTAAAATTATGCGTTTAAATTTTCCAAACATGGACCAACCCCTGGCTTTCCTATTTCTACTTCCATGTTTAATAGAATTCAGTCAGTCTACTATATGGAATTTTTGAATGCTTCGCTTCAATTTCGAAATGAATTCTTCATGATCTCATCTGGGAATCATCAATAATGATTATGTAGTCCTAACTACCTATAGTATTGATAAGTATCGAGGGTTTTATGCCTTTTGAAATTCTTTTTTAATTTGAGAAGGATTTATTGTAAAACCCCGATAATTTTTGAATAGTAAAGTTTAGGTGTGATAATTATGATATGTGGATATTTAGTATGATAAATATCAATAAATGGTATATGAGTATAATACCACGTGATTTGAGTATGAACGAGTTCATACATGAGAGATAGAAGTTGTGAAACATGCACATATGGCCAATTCTTGAGAAACTGGGAAATCCCAGTCCGGTCGACCGCCACGGTCGACCGNGTTTTTCTCCTGTTTTGAGTTGGTTTCGGATTTCTAAACCCATATTCGTTTTATATATATATATATAAGAGTTTTTCACGATTTTCTCAGTTTTCCTAAGAACCCTAACAGCCACCAAAACCCCCAAACCCTAGTTTGGTTTTCTTGGAGAAGATTGAAGGCTTTCAAGTGGATTTTTCGGGTGATTCTTGGCTTTTGGAGTGGATTTTTCTTCAACCTTGCTTCTAACACGTTTTCCTACAACCCAAGGCGAGTATCATCTCTACTAATCCCCCTCCTAGTTTTCTAAACGTTTTTAAAGGGATTTAAACATGTTTTATAGAGCCTAAACGAATAGATTATGTATAAAAGACAATCCTTTTGTATTATATGTATAAAGATTAGGTCTTTTCATGCTAAAAAGGTTGAGAACGTTTTTACAGATGTGTTTTAGATCTGATGATGATGATTTTAAAATGTTGTTAAATTAAAGAAGGAAGTTTGATTTGTTGTTTTGAGCTTTTATGCATGTTTTAGGGTTTTGAATATAAATCTAATGCGTAAAAGAAGTTTGATTTGTTGTTTTGAGCTTTTATGCATGTTTTAGGGTTTTGAATATAAATCTAATGCGTAAAATCATGATTTATATATGTTGATTTGTTTCCAGATAATTCTATCTGCTGTACCATGCTTGTATGCAAGTTTCATGAAGTTTTTATCATGTTTGTGTCACGAAAACACGACGAGAACACAACCTGTAAGAATCTGGAGAAAAAGTCGACCGCGTACCCGTCGCGGTCGACTGCCACGGTTGACCGCCAGTTGATTTTGGCTGTGCATGTTTATTTGAGTTTGCTTTCGATTGTCGAACAAATTTCTCGACCCTATGATGATAGACTATGACATTAATGATTGTTAAACACCTGGGATGATGGTGAATTTCAGATGTGGATACGTATACCGAGATTTGTGCATGTATGCTAGATTGTGTTAGATCCACACACACTTGACATGAGATCTATAGATTGACCAACACATATTGAATAATGTTGTCTTATACGTATCCGGAAATAGGGAGATGAAACCTATTTGCCGCAGAACGATTGAGTAAGAGTATTACAAAAGTATCGTTATTACATGCATCCGGAAATAGGGAGATAATAAATCCTATTGCCGCAGAGTGATTGAGTAAGAGCATTACAAAAGTATCGCTATAGCACAAGATGATGCACACATAGAAAATTGATCAGTTGTAAGCTTCACTTCCATGATAGATTTCCCGCGAGTAGGGTATTTCATTTGACCTTTCGATACACCCGTTATGAACGGCAGATATTCTTGTTTTAGAAATTGTTGATATCATCTGATTTTAGAGCAGGTCACTCGGACGTAATTCGAAATGAGATGATTATTCTTTATGTTGGAGATTGGAGTATTTATCATTGATTATTTGATTTTTCATTCATAGAGAGTTATATGAATGATTTGATATATGTATGTACTAACTCTATTTTCTTATATACTCCTACCCCTTCCCCTAGGTAGAGGTAGTGATGATCTCGCTAGCGCTTTGACGCTCGTTGTTTCCCCTCTTTCAGGCAGCGAGTCCGGCGCACGGAGGGTCGCAGGTTGATGGGACATCTTAGTTGTCCATTTAGCTATTTATTATATTTTGTAGTCATTTCAGAACTCCACATGGATAATACAACCTCTTCATAATTAACAAAAAAAAGGAGCAGGTCTCGGTGCATGTTAGCATGCAATTCTTGCAGCTAACTTGCGCCCCTGCTTAGCTTTCCATGGCCAAGAAGAAGAAGAGGAGTGGAAGGAAGTTACTTAATATTGGTTTAAGATCCTCTAGTCCCAATTCGCTGCACTCTGAGGATCAATTTGATACAAGTTTGGATGGGGATGATGATGGATCCAGTTTTATGGGATCGACTGGTCCAAAGGGAGAAAAGATGAAGAAATCTCTGGATGAAATACTGAAATCTTCTGATTTCATGATAAATCCGCAACAATCTCTGCATCCAACTCAGATTAATGGAGTTCAAGCTAGGCATCTCTATGGTTCTCAAATCTCTGGAAATGGTGCTAACAGATCCCCTAGGGTTTCCTGGGCTGAAGAGGTGGAATTTGAAGTAACTTCTTCAGATTTTCCTCTGATCCAAGGTTCTTCTTCAAAGTCTAGACTCAATGCTTCAGTTTCTGAGATTTCAAAAACTTCGGATACTGTTACATTGATTTCTGATGTGAGGAATACTGTAGAAGTCAGATCTGTTGATACTAATGAGGAAAATGTTCTCACTAAGGACCATCAACCTGATTCTGGTTTTAATGAATCTGTGTTTTTGCATCTGGGAGGGAAAATGAAAAAGTTAATGATGTTTTTCTGGAAAAAGAGGATGAATTTGTTAAGGATAAGATCAACGATGTTATACAGGAGAAAATTGGGTCTGGATCCAGCAAAACTTTTGTTAGCCTCGTTTCTGATAACAGGAAATCTGGTAATGGTCTATCTCTAAGCTTCATTCCATCTTCCCTGACCAATACTGCCTCTTTTACTGCTGATGAATGGAAGCAAGGTGAAGAATTATGGAAAAATGCATTAATTGGGCATGTTATAGGGTTGAATGTCAAATTTAAGTCAATGGAATCCTATGTTAATAAGCTTTGGGGTAAAATTTCTATACCTAAGACCTCTCTTATCAAACAAGGGTTGTTCCTATTTGATTTTCAAACTCAAAAGCAAATGAATGATATTCTTGAGGCAGGGCCTTGGTTTTTTGGATCTAGACCCTTAATGTTGAAGCCATGGAGTATTGATACTGATATAGAAAAATTCCAGGACTTCTCCTATCCAATGTGGGTCCAATTTCCAAGATTAAAGCTCAATCTCTGGAGCTCAACTGGAATCAGTAAAATTTCTAGCCTAATTGGGAAACCTATTACTACTGATAAGCTCACGGCTACTAGACAGAGGTTGAGTTATGCTAGAGTTTTAATAGAGGTGAAACTCCCTTTTAAAGAGCCTTTGCCAGATTCTTTGAAGATAGAAGGACCTGATGGAAAAAGTTATATGCAGCAAGTCTTTTATGAATTTAAGCCTAAGTGGTGTTCTACATGCTGTATGGTTGGACATGATACTGAACAGTGCAGGAAAAACAAAACTAAGAAAATGTGGGTTCCTGTTAACAGGCAGACTGATAAAGCTGCTGATGGTAATGTTGTACATGTATCTAACCCTGGGCCTAATAAGGAGTCATTGCATGAGAATGTAATTACTTCTTTTCCTGGTTCTATGGATCATGTTATTAGTTCAGCTAATCAGGAAACAAAATCTGTTGAGAAACATGCACAGAATGGAAAACATGCACATGAAGATTCTGCACAGACAAGTAGGGACTGTGAGGGCAATTTTGGTTTGAGTCAAAGGGATACCATCCCAATCTCTAACCAGTATATGCAAATGAATGATCATGCCTTATTCTCATCCCCAATAGCTTCTGGCTTTCAACTGATCAGTCCAACTGTAAATGCATCAGGGTTTACAAATGTGAACAGAAACAACATAGCAAGGAGAGTAAATATTACTGCACCAGTTACTTCAGGTACTCTTCCATCTCTCTTCTCTCCCCTAGAGCAGCAAATTTCTGATCCATCCTGTGCAGACAGAGGTGGGAAATCTCATTGATGCATCTTGCTATCTGGAACATTAGGGGATTCAATAAATCCTCTAAACATACAATAGTCAAGCATTTTATTCAGGAATATAATCTCTCTTTATTAGCTCTTTTGGAAACTAAGCTCTCTGAAACAAAACTGCAAGGTCTAGCAAATAAAATTACCAAAAGCTGGAAATGGGTCTCTAATGTACAAGAAGCTGGAAATGGAAGAATATGGATTCTCTGGGACAATGATATTTTGAAAATTCAAAATGTTATTTTCTCAGAACAATGTATTACATGCACTGTTGAATCCAGAGATGGAAGGTTTTTCAGTCTATGCACTATTGTATATGCCTCAAACCATTTGGCCAGCAGGAAAAATCTATGGAGGGATTTACTTACCTTAAAGCAAGGTGTTAACAGTCCATGGATTATTGGTGGAGACTTCAATGCTATAGCAAGTTGTGAAGAGAAAATTGGTGGTTTGCCAGTTACAGAATCTGACACAGAGGATTTTCAAAACTTTATTAATGCTGGTCAGCTGTTGCATTTAAGATCTACTGGCTGTTACTATACTTTGTGTAACAAACAGGAAGCTGATAGCAGAATCTAGTCTAGACTGGATAGGTGCTTGGTGAATGAGGACTGGATCCACTCATACACCTCAAGTCAGGTGAAATATCTCATTCCAAATTGCTCTGACCACTCTCCAGCTTTAATTACCATCGAAGATGATATTTCTGAGGGAAAAAGGCCATTCAAGTTCTTCAATATGTGGGTGAAACACCCTGATTTTATCTCAACAGTTCATTCTATATGGGATCAAAGCAGTGAAGGCTACAATATGTTCAGATTTCATACTAAGCTCAAAAAGCTTAAACATGCCCTTAAAGAGCTAAATAAAAATCATTTCATGAATATAAGTGAGCAAGTATGTAGAGCAAAGGAAGAGTTAGCAGATATTCAAAAGCAATTAAATGATGATCTTTTCAACTCAGTTTTGATTGCAAAGGAAAAAGAATGCATCAAGAAATATGACAGATTAATTGACTGTGAATCTTCTTATTTTAAGCAGAAAGCTAACATTAACTGGAGCTTGCAAGGAGATAAGGGATCAAGATTCTTTCATTCTATTATGAAAAAGAAAAGGCACCTTAACAGAATTCTGACTCTATACACTGACAATGGGTCTAGAATCACTAACAGATCTGAAATTATTGCAGAAATCATCAATTATTACAAAAAGATTATGGGTACTTCTGTTCCTACTGCAACCCCTGATCCAGAAGTGATAGCAAATGGTCCTCTTCTCTCTTCTGAACAGAGGCAAATACTCAGTCTTCCAGTTGCTAGAGAGGAAATTAAACAAACAGTACTTCCTTAATCCTCAGTATGCTGCAGATTACAGGCCAATATCATGCTGCAATTGTATCTACAAGATCATCACAACAAAGTCTATAGTGGAGCTCTAAAATAAAGCATAGCTAGAATAGACAGTCGAATACTAAAGTGTGTCACCATCAACCTGCGACTCTCCGGGCTCCTGGCTCGTGACCTGAAAGGGGGAGAGACAACGAGCGTCAAAGCGCTAGCGAGCAACATCACAACCAACCCCAATGGAGAGGGCTCGTTGTATAAGGCCAATATCATGCTGCAATTGTATCTACAAGATCATCACAAAAATCATTGCATCCAGAATTCAAAAGGTTATGGGATTCTTGGTAAGTGAAGCTCAAAGTGCTTTTGTCAAAGGTAGATTAATTTCTAGCAATATTCTTCTAGCTCATGAAATAATCAAGCACTATGGTAGAAAACACATTTCCCCTAGAGCTGTTCTGAATATTGACCTTAGAAAAGCATTTGATACCATTAATTGGGGTTTTATAAGAGCTATGTTGAAAGGATTAGGATTCCCTGACATTATGATCTCCTGGATTTATGAATGCATCTCCACTCCCAAGTTTTCAGTATCCATTAATGGTGTTCTTCATGGCTACTTTCAAGGAGCTAGAGGTTTAAGACAAGGTGACCCCATTTCGTTATTGGGATGGAATACTTGTCTCGCAAGCTAAACACCCTTAAGAATGATAGATTGTTTAAATTTCATCCCAAGTGTTCAAGATTGAAGCTGTCACGTTTAATATTTGCGGATGATCTCCTCTTGTTTAGTAAGGCAGATATGTACTCTATTACAAGATTGAGGGACTGCCTAATGGAGTTTAGTCAGGTCTCTGGTTTGAATCCTAATCCCTCTAAGTGCTCAATTATTATGAGTGGAGTTGAAGATGGCCTAAAAAACCAGATATGCAGCTGTCTTAATTTTTCAGAGGGGATGTTGCCTATTAAATATCTGGGGATGCCACTTATCTCAAAAAGGCTTTCGTGTCTTGATTGCTCTCCTCTCATCAACAAGATATCTGATCAGTTTCAAAACTGGAAAAATACTAGAACTTTGTCCTATGCTGGTAGATTACAAATGATAAAATCTGTCATCTTGGGTATTCAAATTTTCTGGACAAGTAACTTCATACTCCCTGTTAAGGTGCTTGAAAGAATTGATAGCATGTGTTCTAGTTTCCTTTGGGGTCACGAAATCCACTTGGTATCTTGGAGCTCTGTTTGTCAGGACATAAAGCATGGTGGCTTGGGTTTATTTTCAGCTAAGTTCTGGAATTATGCAACAGCAGCTAAGCTTCTTTGGATGATACATCTTAAAAAGGATATTCTATGGATTAAGTGGGTGCACGGCACATATCTGAGACAAACTAGTATCTGGCAGATACAGTCTAAAAATTCTGACTCATGGATGTGGAAACAGCTTCTAAAAGCTAGAAACATGATGAGGGATAAGATGGGAAGTGTTGATAATCTTCTGAATGCAATTAATAGCTGCTGTGTTAACAATAATATCAGCATTTCATCAATCTACAGGGTGCTTTTTCAGCAGCAGCCTGCTTTGTATGAAGGATCAGGGACTGTTTGGGGGGGGGGGGGGGCATTACCCCAAACATTCATTTATTCTGTGGCTAGCATCTCTTTTCAGACTGCTCACACAATATAGCTTGTGTATTACTCACACAAGAGAGGCTATGCAAAATGAGTGTGTTAAGTTCTAACCAGTGCATATTGTGCTCGAGAGATGGCCAAGTAGAAACCTGTCAGCATATCTTCTTTGATTGTCAATATTCTGCATATATTTGGAGGAAAGTAATGGAATGGCTGAAGTTCAACTGGCAATCATGTAGTTGGAACCAGATTTTTGATTGGTACAATAGGAATTTGAGGGGTAAAGGCTTCAAAAAGAAATTGAAAAGAATTGCATTGTCAGTATCTGTCTATCTGCTTTGGCAAGAGAGAAATCTAAGGCTTTTTCAGCATAAAGCCAGAGGGCCTGATCAGCTATTCCATGTGGTAAAGTTGTGTATATACACAAAGATTTTAAATGAGAATATACCACATCATATGAAAGATTACATAGAGAATTTGTAAATGAGTGTTGACTGGATTCATATAACCAGTCTCTAGGCTTCTTGTAATTGGATGTGCGCATTCATTTCTACATTTGGTGATGAATAAAGTTTTCGTTCATTGACAAAAAAAAAAAAAGAACTCCACATGTAGTTGATTACTTTCAGACTCCAGTTTAGTATTTTATTTCATAGAGTTGAGAGCTATTATAAGACTCTGTTTTCTTTTTGACTCATTGTATTTGAGATTTAGTTCAGACTCAGAGATATGTTTATCTTATTCAAGTTGAGCTCATTATTGATATTCTTATGCTTCTTCTGTGTTTATCCAGTGTTGTTCTATTTTTATTTTGCCTGTCTGTACCTTCATCTATTTATTGTTTCCACTAGAGAGATAACGAATGTGATGGTGAAACATGTCGTAGCATGGTGTTTGGTGCTTGGCAGGTTTGACAATCCGGGTTTCACCTGGGACTGTAGCCTTGTGTGAACCCTGGGGCATCACATTTATAGCCTTGAGTCAATTTTATTAAGGGTGTTAAAGTAAGAAAGAGAGAGAGAGTCTTGGGTAAATTTTCCCTAAATTGAAAATTGAGTGTGTACTATATATATACAAGTAGAAGAGGGTGAGGTTTGTCCTCATAACCAATGTGGGACTAAACCCACTACTAACACAATATTATCAACAACCCCCTTAAACTCATGTTGGATCGAACAAAGTGAGTTTGTGTACAAGAAACTGGAATCGATGAACGAGTAAGGAATTTGTGAAGAAATCTGTAAGCTCGTCAGCGGATGAGACATGAAGGAGTAGAATTGTCTTGATCCTTGATAACTTGTTGACGGACAAAATGAGCGTCGATCTCAATTTGTCTAGTCCTCTCATGAAATATTGGATTATTATCAATCTGGATGACAATCTTATTATCACAATAGAGAGGAGTAGGAGTCGTAACAAAAATACTGAAATCACTAAGAAAATGACGAAGATGAATAATTTCTTTAGATGTTGTGGACATTGCATGAGACTCTGCCTCGGTACTGGAAAGAGCAATAACATCTTATTTCTTACTCTGCCAGGAAATAAGGAAATCACCTAGAAATATCCAATAACCTGTGGTAGACTTCCTGGTAGTGGGATCACCAGCCCAATCGGCATCAGAATATGCACAAAGCTCTAACTTGGATGTAGAAGGAAACAGAAGAGAGCGAGTGCTAGTACCCCGGAGATACCCAAGAATCCGTAATAAGGCAGCATAGTATGCAAAACGTGGGGCACTAACAAATTAACTGGCAATACTAACAACATGAGAGATATCTAGTCGAGAGATGCACAGATAGACCAACTGGCCAATAAGATGTCAGAATATTGAGTGTATATTTTACTAGCTAGCATGAGAGAGTCTTGGTTGATATATATATAAGAATATACTAAATAAAATAAGGAAGTGGATACAGATATACACATTTTAAATGGTAAAGTAGTGAATTTTACCAATTTACAACCAGTACATGAATCAATACTAGAACTAGATGATACAGGACCAAGTACTCTAGACTGTATAAGACTCTTCAGCCTTTTATTAGACACATGACCAAGTCGTATATGCCACAAATTGGCAAGAAGCGAGGTAGAGGGTTTTGACGAACAAACAGAAGCAACAAGAGAATGTGGACATATGGACTGTGGAAGGTGAATATATTCCAGAAAATATAGCTTGTGCCTCCTACGACTACCCTAACTATCATCCCCATTTGTGGATCCTACACAAGACAAGTATTAGAAGAAAATGGGATAAGTAGGCTAGCCATACATAAAGAGCTAATAGAAATTAAATTTAAGCACAACTGAGGAGCCACATAGATGAGACCAAGTGTTAGACGACCAGATGGATTATTTTGTTGGGGGTAATAGAGCCATATTGAGTGATAGACAATGGTTGTCCAGCAGCTGTGTAGATAGGGGGAAGAGAAGATGAAGTGAAGATAGAAGATAAAAATGAGGCATTACAAGTCATATGAAAGGAACAGCCCGAGTAAAAAATCCAGAGATCATTCATGTTGGCCTTCTTGTTTTGATAATATTTAACAAACAATTTACGACTAATGTTGTTTATCTAGTGTTTGTGTTCTATATTTATTCTAGGCAAACAATATATTAGAGGTTGGATGGAATTGCGCTTCAACGATCATATCCAATGGAGGTTGGTGAAATTGTGGAGTGAAGCCATACAATTCAAGTTAAAGATCCAAGTTTAAGCTTCATCTACAAGTTTACCAAGTCAAGCTTATTGAAGATCAAGATAGCTTGGGTAATTTAGTTTAGGTTTTATATTATGTGTGTTAGTACGTTAAGCTCAATATCATATACACACACATTTTATTGGTTTCCTTGTATATATATGTAGTCATATATATATACAACACAAGTTTTGGTTTTTATGTTTATAAATATGAAATTACATATTTCATATTTATTATTGTGATTTGGTTTAACTACTTAGATATGAAACAAATATATTTTAATATACATTCTCATATGTTTTATTTTCTATTGTATTTGTAAAAATATTGTATTCTTAGTTTATAGACTTAACAATTATTATATACATCTTTAATTAAGTCTACAAAATCATTTTGTATTGTTTCAAAACATGGTTAAGCTAAAATGTCAAAACTCATATGTTCACATTTTTATGTTTGGACTATTTTACAAAATGATAATATTTTACATTTGGGAAGTCCTTTTTAAAAACCAGTTTTTGTAGCATGTGTATTATCATGTTTACAATCATTTTCCAAAGTTACATAATTTTTGGAATTTATTTGATATTTTTAAACATGGTTTTAAAATCAAAAAAATCAACTTTCAAACCTGTTTTCTCATATGCCAGTTTACGGTTGACCGCCACGGTCG